ATCGTACATTTCCTTTTTGTTCTTATATTCCTTCTAACTCCTGAGCAGTACTACACCAACTGAGGTAATCAGTGGGGGGAGACCTGAGGAAGCCAAAATGGAGAATTTACATTGAAAAGGGCAAATATTTCCTTGTCTAAAGGGAAAAAAAAAAGGATACAGTCAAAAGTGAAGAATATGAATGGGAAGCTAAAGAGAGGAAAGAGAGAAAAAGAGATAAATTCACATGGTTGATCGTTAGGAAAAATTTTATGAGGAATTAAGAGTTAAGGGTACAAAGAGAAGATTTACGGGAGCTTCATGAAGTGGGATATGTAAGGAATGAGAAGAGAAACGTTAAAAAGTACTGCTGAGGATGCTGAACTTGGGATACTCTTTCAAGTTCTATAGAGGTAGTAGTAAACATTGGAATTATTTTAAATTCCTTTTGGTTGCGGAATTGTATTTCTTTGACTGCAACACAAGACTGAGCCATGAGAGGCTCTTGATATACTCAGTTATGGTAATAAAATATTTATAGCAGGTGTTCTTAATGCTGGATTCATGGGAAGACTTTAGGTTGCTTACAAATCCTCACAATTGTATGCAATTTTTGTGTTTATGTGTACATGCATATTTTGAAATGATGAGAATAGTCATGTTCATAGCTTTTATCAGAGAGAAGACGGCACAACCTCAGGGCAAAAGACCAAATGAAGAAATGCAACCACAGAAGATAACTGATTTCTAATTCTACCGAAAAGCTTAATAGGCTAGTCCAAATCCCCCTTATTTTGCCAAAGATAGCAATGTATTCTTTCACCATGTCCCTTTCTCCTTCCCCTCTCCCTAAATTCCTCTCCACATCTCCTTGGTATTTGAAAATACATTCAATGATATTTAAAAAATAAAGTAATCCATGAATGTGCCAAATAAAGCGGGGGAAAGGGCCACTGACATTTTCGGGAATTGAAGAAAGACAGGGGAAAATTAGAGTTAAACTTACGAGCAAATCAGACATTTACTATGGTTTGAGAAAGGTATCATCATAGACTCTGAAAAGCACAGCAAATAGTAGGGGTGAGAGTGTTAGGGCTATCAAACTGATTAAATGTCCCTAGCCAAGGTACATGGAAAGGCATTTCTAGTTATTACTCTTCTGCTGAAAGGATTAATATATCATACTTGTTACAGAAACCTAAATTCAAGGCATCACAGCCTAGGCATCAATTTATATTAACTGGATAAACATTTAAATTATGGAGGGCAAATAGCTGCAAAAGGGAGGAACTGAGAACCATGAAAAATATGCCATTGCTTTGCTAAGTTTGTTTGAACCACCTACTCAAGTGTTTTATTCAAACCCCAAAAGGGAGGCGCAGAGCAGCTCCAAGTCTTTCAAACACGCCTTCTTTCTTCATCTAGCTCTTTCCTCATTTAAGAGCAGCACCCACAAGAAAGCACAATTATCTTACTCAAGACAAAAAAATTCAATTTAGTGTCTTTGGAGAAGGCCTTCAGTAAATATTAGTCTCTAGGGTCCCATCAGTAGAGTACTAGGCATGTTGTAGGCATTTGTTAAATGCCTATTGAATAAATGAGCAACCAAATGAATAAATGAACAAACATCTTTCAACCCCCTGCTTCCAATGTGGATACATGACTTTAGAGGCAGCACTAGGCAAGGGAGAGCAACATCAGGGAAACAAGAAACTGTCCCCACACAAAAGACTCCCTTATCAAAAGACATTCTGAGTAAGAATATCATTCAGATAGTAGCCACTTCCTTAAAGCGGCTTGAGCCTTAAAAGGCTGATGCTCTCCCCAGAGGTTTTATGAGGGGAGTAGGAGATACTGCCTCATAAAGGCTACCAAGGAGTTCTGGGGAAAAGAAGGGTATATAGGCAGAAATCATGCTCCCTCCCTCCTGCCCAAGGATGTCCACATTCTAATGCACAGACCCTGTAAAGGTTATGTTACATGCCAAGGGAGAATTGAGGTTGCAGTTGGAATTAATGTTGCTAATCAGTTGAACCTGAGATGGAGAGACTACGCTGCATTATCCAGGTGGACCCAATGTAATCACAAGGGTCCTTAAAGGAAGAGCGAGGCAGAAGAAAAGGTCAGAGTGATGCAAAATGAGAAGAACTTGACTGGCTGTTGCTGGCTCTGAAGATGGAGGAAGGGGCTTCAAGTCAACGAGTGTTGGCAGCTTCCAGAAGATGTACAAGGCAAAAACAAAAGTGGATTCTCTCCTAGAGCTTACAGAAAGAAACACAGCCCTGCCAACACTTTGATTTTAGCCTAGTGAGAGCCATCTTGAACTTCTGACCTCCAGAACTTTAAGATAATACGTTTATGTTGTTTTAAAGCTACCGAACTTGTGGTAACTTGCTACGGCAGCCATAGGAAACAGAAGTCAGTGAAAAGGAGGGAAGGACTCAAGAGGCAGGTAGACTGGTTTTGTCATTACTAGTTATGGGACTTTAGGGAATTTATTTCATGTTTTTGAGGCTTTGTTTTTCTCATCGCTGTAGTGGGTTAAAACGAGCAACCTCATAAGGCTGCCTTAGATATTAAATGAGATCACGTCTTTGAATTGCCCAGCTCCAGGCTGGCCACACTATGGTGCTGATCATTACTCATCATTGCTATCTCTCTTTCTCTTCTTCTTCCTACCCTCTACAGTCACTGGGTGCCAAGATGCAGTGTAGGGATCACAAAAGAAGAGAAAAAGGGAGAAAAATAAAATGAATGGAGATAAAGAGTCAAACCACAGGGGTCTAGGATGGGGAATCCACATCACTCACCACTGCCTGGGGCAGGGGACACCAGTTCAGTGGTCTATCTGGGATTTTGTAAAACGAAGGTTTGAAGGGCCCTATCATTTCTTTGTCAAAGATAGAGAAGAAAAGGAAGGGGGTGGAGTGTGAAGAATAGGAGAAGGGGTAGGGGAAGGAAGAAAAGAAAAGAATCACAGGGTGAGACCCAGGCTGGAAGAAAACATGGGTGGGATTTCCCATGAAAGGAGACTGTACCTCTACTCAGAAATGAGGGCAATTTCAAAATCAGTTGGCTGTTCTTCTTTCCTTTTTGTCCCTGTTTCTACACCATACTTCCCTTCAGTTTAAGAGCTACATTAGATCATATTCATACACAAACATCTATGAATTCATTGAAGGTAGATCATGTGTCCTGGGATGGCAAGAAAAGAGGGGTACATATATTATGTCACATTTCAAAGGTTAAAATGGACCTTTTAAAAGCACTGGAGAAATTTGGGAATAATAATTGAAAACTAATTAGATGCTATTAAGTCTCTAGACCTGTCATTAATTATTTCTTTTTCTAAGGTGATGTGGGAGATTATTTATCTATCTATCTACATACCTATCAATCTCACAACATAGGTCTGATCTTTGCCATAAATGACAATGCTATGGTCTGTAGAATGATGCTCAAGGTACTATGAGAAGTGTATGAATAGTGGAAAATGCAAACTTCTAAGTTTGAATGACAACTTATTGCCTTTTAGGCTTTGCAGCTAACGTAGATTTCATGACTACAGAGCTGTATATGTACTGGGATAATTTCAAGAGAGAACATCTAAATTGTAATAAAAATCATTGTTAGGGTTTGGATGTACTTTGTGTTCAAGGATTTTTTATTAAATTTTGTGATATGGCACAACTTTGAGTAGGCAATTTTGTGGTTAGCCCAAATCTGTTTCTATTAACACAAAAAATTTTAAGAAATAACTAGATTTTAAGCCATTTTTTCAGTTTATTAATAAATTGTTTTAAGGAAATCACAAGAAGAAACACACAAGCCATTGTTTCTTTTAAAGGAATATTTATAAATTGCGAAGTGACTTGCTGTGTAATATATCCAGCTTCAAATTATATCAACAAGATTATTTGCCTGTCTTCTTTTTCAAGCCAAACTAAAATTGAGTTAAATATCACTTCAAGACACTAGCTATTGAGATTTTTCAATGCTTTTAAAAGGAAAAAGTCAAGTCTTCTAAAGTGACCATGACATGTTTAAGTAAATATTTTCCCCCAAAGGTTCACTGTATAATTTAACTTGAGAAGATATGAGTAAACAGATAGACCTGCTGTAATATTTTAGGAAGTAATTTACCATTTCCTCTGATTTTGGAAAGCCCTTTAAATACACAAAATCTGCTGCGATTTCTCACATCACTTTCTCTAAAGGCTTCACAGCTTGGGTAACCAATGGTGCTGATAAATCAGCTAATCAATGGACCCAGAAATCTTAGGGAAAAAACAGACAACTCATTGCTTCTTTCCTCCTTCTGCCCTTTACTCCATTGTCCCCAAATGACTTCACAACTGAGTTTACAGATCAAAAGGCTTTTTCTACAAATACTCAAACTTCTGTTGGAATATGCAGAGATTTTCAGAAAAGTCAACATTAACTTAGTGTAAAGAGCTTTAAGTTTGAACTAGTAGAGTGATCACCAGGTTCATCTAACCCTGAAAACAGCTCAACTAGCTGCTCCATACAGGTATTCATCTTTGTCCCCCAAAGAGCTCTGCTGGCAGCAGTCAAAACCAAAGTGGGAACTTAATACAAATGAAAATTGTGGTAGCAAAATACACTTACAAGGTTAATTTGACATATAGCAAAAATTTGAGAGGTTAGAGTGGTTTCTATATAACCACAGTACTGATTTAGAAAACCCCAGAGAAACAGCTGCATTTTGATATATAACCTGCTTTCCTGCATAGGAAACCCCAGATTTTCAGGGTGTGTAAGTCTTACGAGGCAAGAATTTGAACAGAACATTGGGGAAAAGTGCATATATCTTTTATTGAGAAATAACGGGACAATAAAACCTGTAGAAGTTTACACTTACGCATTGGGCAAACGTGTATTTGCTCCAAAGATCATACTGTTAATTTCCTTTAGAGAGTGACAAAGGATGAGAAAAAGTAAAGTCAATTCTGCTGACTTATTAAGAAAACTGTACTCATACCACTGGATTCTCTGATTACCTGTGAATGTCTCCATTTCTGGCATTTGGTAGCAACTGGTGGAGGCAAACCTGGCAAAATGTCTTCCAGCTGCTGGAAGATTAACTCCTGCACATCCTCAGTGCTGTGCTCCAAGTGTGTAACTCCAAATGGAACAGTCGTGTGAACCACAAGGGAAGGCCCGATTTCCGATGACTCTGGTGGAAGAGGAACATAAAGACTCATCTTAAAGGGGGTAACATAGAAGTGTCTCTCAGCATTTCAATCCAGATTTAAGAACTGATCACAATAATCAGATAATAGTCCAATAAACGGAGGAAAAACAGGTTCTAGTCTTTGAAGTATAAAATGAGGCTATTTCTGAAATTCAAAATAAAGCTTCCCTAAAGAGGAGGACGGATTCAAGATTTGTTTTAGAGAACGATTTTTCAGGTCTTGAGAAAGAACTGGAAGGAAGGGTAGGAAGAACACCAATATGTACTGCCTTGGGTATAATTAAATTTATTGGAGATGTTCATCTTCTCTCATCCACTAAACTATAAGCAATTCATGGCAGGAGCCATTTCTTATACACAGTCTATATTCTCCTTAAGTTGTGAAAACAAAATAGATGTTCAGTAAATACTTATTGATTTTATGTTAAATAGATTGCAAAAATATTTTGTTGAAATTATACAAATGCCAGAATAAAATATCTTCACCGCTTTAAAAAAAAATCAAGCTTCTCTCTAAAAACAGGCTTGACCTCATAATATTCTTTATATTTTAAGTGGCATTAAAAACAAAAATCTGCCTCATTCATAACATGGAGCTACTTTCCATTTTTATTTGCCATTGAATTTTTTTTCTGTATTTTCACAATTACAAATGATGAGTGTCTGCTTCGTATCTTTCATTCTTTAGTAGAATATGAGAAAGTCAAATAAAGTTTGAAGTTGAAAGCAAAGTGACTGGGGCATTAGAAATACAATCTTGTAAGAAATGATAATGAGAGTTTGCCTGTTATTATTATTCATTTAAATCATGCAGAAGAGAAAGCTGAGGAAAAATAATAATAGATGTGAAGTATACGAAATAATATGAAAGTTGAAAGAGGAAAATATTAAAGTGTATAAGGTACTGCCGGGGCTGGCAAGCCTAATTCTGAAAATTCTTTAATTTGAGATTGTAAAGAGTAAGACCACTATCTCTTTGAGGTAGGTTTGTACAACTTTACACAGAAAAAAAGAGTTGAACAACATAAGCCACTTATTTGCTATGTGCTCACTTAAGCTCTTTATGTGTGTGTGTGTGTGTGTGTGTGTGTGCACGCATAAAATGAGAATAAGTTAGCTCCTTTTACATAGGTCTGTGGTGTGGATTAAATAACACAAAGCATGTGAAGTGCTCAGCACAGTTTCTGGCACAGAGTAAGTTCTTAATAAATGTAAGCTATGGGAACAGAAGCAATAAATCAGATATATACAAGGGAAAAGTTTCCCTGGCATTGCCCAAATGATAGCTGTGAGTTATATTTTGTAAAAGTACTTCATTTTTCCATTGCGCTCTGCTCAGAGAACTCTGGCTGATGAACTTTACAGCAAAATATCAGAGAACAGAGTCCCAAAATGCTGCGAATTTTTAAAGTGGAGTGCTTCCAAACATTTTTATATGTAAAAGGTGGGAGATCTGACTTCAGAAGCTGTGCAGTAAATGCAACAGTAAGGAAATTGTCCACCGTTTTCACCTCACAGTGGCTGGAACAACTTGAAAGAGAAAATAGATGGACCATCTCTTTGAACATTCAATGTTTAACCTGTCAGTGTAGACTTTACAGGTACCACACAGAGGGAAGGACCAAGGAGTGCCAAATCTCAAATTCTTTCACTGAATACCATCACAGTGAGAAACCTATTCATATTGCCTCAGGGAGTGTTATTTATGTTATCAGTTAATAAATTTGGGGAGGCTTGTCCACAGCAAGGGGTTGTCAAAGCCACCACTCTTTCATGAGGTACCCAATCTTCCCAGAGACAGAGAAAGCTACTGGGGAAGCATTCTGAAGCAGGAGAGTTGGAGTTAGGAGTTGACTTATCTATGGCAAGCTTCAAAGGAAAATGAATGCTAACTGCGTGCTAAGAATCAGGTTGCAGTGACCCAGCCATTTGTTCTAGAGAGAACTCGTAAAATGACTGAGAGTGGGGATGGTGCCTTGCCAGGTTTCTCCCATTTACATTAGCCATCCACTCCTAGGAGAGCAATAAAAAAGGAAATTTAAGACCCAAAATGAAACAGTTCTTGCATAACAATGACAGAAAAACCTGGCTACTTGTTTTTATTGGAATCAAACAACATTTTTTTTGGAGAATTTAGGTTAAAATTTGAATAGCTGCAACCTAAAACGATGAGTTTTAAGGGAAAGCTCCCCCAAACCCCAAATTAAAGGGTATTTTTAGAAGCTAAAGTCCAAAAATACAAACAGCCAACCAGAGTTTAAATGTGACCAAGGTTTGGAAATAGAGCTCTATAAAACGCCACAAATACGTTAATAGGATTCAGAGCATAAATTCAGTATAATCATTATTCCTTGGTCACTGAGAAGGTAATGATGTTACCTTTCTCTTTCTTTTCTTTATTCAGTTTAACAAGCATAGCACTTTGCTTTTGGCATTTTAAGTGTAAAGTTCATTAGTAAGTAGACAACATTTCTGTACATCAGGAGATCAACAGCTTTAGTCAGAAGAAAAGTATTTGGACCTTTGCATCCTACTAGCTCTGTGGTCCTGGACAACTAAATTTCTCAGGCTTCACTTTCTTCCATCAAGTGAAACGGAGTAAGGCTACTTATGTTATAAGGTGTCATGAGGATTAAATGAGTTAGGACACATAAAAGCCTTTCTTCAAATATAAAGTGCTACACAAACGTAAGGCATTCCTTGATAATGTTGTTTTGACCTCTACACTGTAGTAAGAGCAACTTTAGAAAGAGATAACAGAATTGACTTCTCTTAAAATATTAAGGTTAATTGTTATATTAATACCCCAGAAACAGTGGCAGATTATTCCTGGGTATAGACACAGCAGGCTTTTTGTTTTTTGGGTTTTTTTTATTGAGAGAAAAGAGACATAGCCTAAAATTTACCATTTTAACCTATTTTAAGTTTTCTGGCATTAAGTACATTCACATTGTTCTGTAACCATCACTGCCATCCATCTCCAGAACTTTATCTTCCCAAACTCAAACTCCATACCCATTAAACACTGACCCCTCACTTCCCCCTTCCCCAGCCCCTAGCAACCACCATTTTTGCCTCTAAATTTGCCTACTCTACGTTCATTCTATTTCTTTCTCTGAATTTGACTACTGTATTGTAATCAAATTGTGAGTAATGCTGCTATGAACATAGATGTACAAATGTCTGAGTCCCTGCTTTCACTTTCCTGATGCCTTTTAACAATATGTTATGAACATCTTTACATCTAGAAATGCCTTTACCTTTAAAGTTTACTTTCTGCTTTATATTTGTTCCACTTTTTCAACATTTCTTTTTTTTAAATTTTTTTTTACTTTTGCCTTCTTTTTGATTAAACCATTTTTACCCCTTATTCCATTCTTCCTCTTTATTAGTTTGGAAGTTATATAGTTTATTTTTATTTTTAGTGATTACCCATAGATTTAACCACCCATATTCAAGTCAAAAGTTAATATCTTTATCCTTATCCTAAATAACATAAGAACCTAAGAATATTTCAGCTCTGATTTTATATGCTTTTGTTGTCCAAGATTTATTTCTTTAGTTTTGTTTAATACAGTCAATGTTTGTTTATTCACAGCTTCCTTTGTGGGTCTCACATCTTCTCTCCAGGGTCATTTTCTTTTTCCAAAAGTTTCTTCTTTTGAAGTTCCTTAATGAGGTTCTGTTGAAGGTAAGTTTTCTCAGTTTTTGTTTTTCTAAAAATGTCTTATTTCACCCTTATTCGTGAAAGATAGTTTTCCTTGGTATATAGTAATAGATTGAAAATATCTTCTCTCAGCATTTTAAAGAAATAATTCCAATCTAGGTTAGCTTTTATTAATGCTGTTAAGAAGGCAAGTCTTTTTTTTTTTTTGAGGAAGATTAGCTCTGAGCTAACATCTGCCACCAATCCTCGTATTTTTGCTGAGGAAGACTGGCCCTGAGCTAACATCCATGCCCATCTTGCTCAACTTTATATGTGGGATGCCTGCCACAACATGGTTTGCCAAGCGGTGCCATGTCCACACCCAGGATCCCAACCAGTGAACCTCGGGCCGCTGAGAAGAGGAACATGCACACTTAACCGCTGCTCCACCAGGCCAGCCCCAAGAAGTCAAGTCTTAATATGATAGTAGGTCCTTTGCAAGCAGTTTTCTTATATATCTGGATGCTTCAATTGTTTTCTCTTTGCCTTCGGCGTTCTGCAGTTTTGCTTGGATATCCTGAGCTTTGAGTTTCTTTTTGTTTACCTTCTTTGACTTCACTGGGTTTTCTGAATCTGAAGACTCATTTGTGTCATTAATTTTGGAAATCATTCAGCCAGTAGTTTCTTCTCATTTTTTCCATTCTGTTTTCATGGAATTCTAATTAGAGACATGGTACATATTCTCCTTCTATCTTCATGTGCCTTGATCTCTTTTTAATATTTTCCATTTCTGTCTCTCTATGCTAGATTCTATGTAATTTCTTCTAATTTATCTTTCATTTCACCATTCTCCCTACATCTGTGCTTATTCTGGTGTTCAATTTCTCCTTTGAACTTTGAGTTTAAGTTATTTTATTGTTCACTTGTGAAAATACTATTTTTCAAATCTGCATGATCAATTTTGATAGCTTCTTTCTCCCTGGTTATACTGACAGTACTCTCTTGTTTTTCTTTAAACATATTCAATATAGTATATTGTGTGTTTGGTTATTTCAAAATCTGTAGTCTTTGAGTTTGATTCTGCTTTTTGTTGTTTTGAATGGCTGTTGCTCATGATGTTGTGTTTCCTTGTGTGTTTTGTCATTTTCTTTTTTCTATTGTGAGCTGTGTTCCTAGGAATTTTATCTGAGAAATTCTTTAAGGTCTGAGTTTAAAGAGTGTTCCTTTGGAAATTTACTTTTGTTTCTGCCAGATGCCTTGGGGGCAACAATGCCCAGGACTACTTTAACTAAATTTTTAAAATATACTGGTGGAATGAATTCTGGCACCAAATCTG